CACAGACACAGGCACAGACACACACACACACACACTGTGGCACATACACATGCAGAACACCCAAACCCTGGGCAACATACACACGCAGAGTCAAAACACATGGTATCAAAAGGTCATGGAGATATTCTACAAATCCCAGTCGAGGCTCGGATGGCCTCGCTTGCAGTCGCCCCCAGCATGCTGTAGTGCACGGCGCCGGGCCGGCTGGGCTTTCAGGCCCTGTTGCTCAGGTCCTGCGGCACGCGCTCCGCAATCTTCTGGGCCATCTGAACCTGTTTTGTAGCGATTGGCGAGTTTCAAAAACACAAGTTGTGACAGGCAAGTCAAGGGCTCAGGGTTCAGAGGGTGTAGACTTTGTTAGGAGGCTTGTGTGGGTGACTACCGGGCTCGATGGCAAGAGGCACCTATCTTGTAATCCTGGAAGCAACATGTCTGGCATCCACAAGAAAGTGCCCCTAAACCGGACTTTGATTGCTGGGGTTGCTAGGGCCACGGGCCACAACCGATGTGTGTTGCCTACGGCAGCACCGAGAGACTGGTTACACAAAGGCTCGACTCTACAGACGACGGCTTTGCCTCAAGAACTCGAAAGGCCAAGCACGATTAAAATTTTAACGCAACCCTGACACTACTAATCACTAATTGCAACCCCAGGTGCCGCAGCCAGCTGCATGAGCGTCCTCGATCTGGATGTTGGAGCCCCCAGCTCTCACGACATGCTGGACGGGCTCTGTGGGCACCACTGGGACAGCTTCCGGCTGGCTTGCTCCAGGATTGGGTCGAGCGCGTGGGAAGGGATGTCCGAGAGCCGCCCGTAGCCTCACAGGGTGTTCGTAAGCGCCTGGGCATCGAACTCCGAGAGCTTGTCTCGGAAATCGTAGCCGATCGAGTTCATCAGCTGCCCACCCAGCAGGTGAAAAATGCTGAAGGCTCATACGAAGTTGGAGAAGTTCTGTGGCTGAGACACATGGAACCTCTTCTGAGCCTCATGGCAAGCTGACATCATCAGTGCTTCCCCGAAAGCGACCAGCTTGGCAGGCTTTCGGGCTGTGTTGCAAAGTCCTTGTGGGGTGTGCTCCGGCAGCAGTGGCCGAGCAAATCTAGAATGAGCCTCCATCCAGCTGGCATCCAGAAAAGACAGCCATGCAAAACCCCAAACCATGTTTGCCAGCTGCTGGCCACTAGGCTCAGGCAGCTTGCCCGTGGACTCCCTTCCCAGGGCAGTCAACAGCGACCCTGGCGCATCTCGTAAGGTGCCAAACCCCCACGCGAGGTTGGACGAGTTCAGCGGCGAGCACTCCGAGCTCCGGTCCAGGACCGTGGCCGCAGTGGCGTCCAAAACCGGGCTTCCACGGAGCTCCGGCCGGCCGAGTGCCCGGGCCAAGTTCGAGGGGCTCTGGGGCCCGAGCTCAGTGGCCGAAGCGCAGCCTCTCCTCGCCAGCGCCTGCATCAGGGAGATGCTCAAGGCGGCCGGCGTGGAAGGATCTCGGGCGCTGATTGCTGTGAACTGCGGGTCGAGCTCATGGATGATGCTCAGAACATGCTCGCCGGTGGTGTCAAACAATGGCAGGTCTCGCAGCTCGCATGTAGCGAAGGACCATGCCACCATTGCCAGGCCTTGCGGATCAAAGTGTGGGGCCATTCGAATTGCTTGATCGGCCAACCCTTCCAAGAGTGCCAGATCGAGCAAAACCGAACTGGTAGGCGTCCGAGTCCTGTTCGAAGTTTCCTGCGGCCCGAAGAGGCTGTGAGCAGATTGGACCTGGTGTGCCGCGGCGTCAATTGTCAAATGGCCGCTAAAACTCAATCGCCCGAGGGCCCGCAACGTGTTGCTCAGCTGTTGTGCATCGGGCTCGGTCACGACAAGGCGTGTGCGGGCGCCTGAGACTTGACCACAAACACAAGATGCAACACAGGATGGGCATGACCCTAACAATGCCCGCCGAAAACAGTGGCTTGGCAAGATCGAGTTATGACGAGGAGGGTGATGATGTGGTGATGAAGCAGAAGAAGATTTTGATGATGATGATGATGACGATGATGACGATGATGATGATGATGGCAACGACATGTTGTTGTCGTTGTTGTTGTTGTTGTTGCTGTTGTTGTTGTTGTTGCTGCTGCTGCTGCTGCGAAAAGGATGTTGCAGCTATCTCCATGGTTGCCGTGATCGTGGTTGCTGCTGATGGTGTGTTGAGACTCGTGATTGTGACTGGTTGTGGTTCTTTACTTTACAGATGTCTGGCCGAGGAGCCCGTCGCAGGCATCAGGTGGAGGTCATGTAGCAAGAGCTTGGCGAAAGCTTGAAATGCGCTTGCCAGGTGCTGCGCATGGAACTCCTGAGATATGCTTAAGACAGGTTTGGCGACTACCATTATGCAGGTTGGTGTTTTGATGATGAAGATCTTGTTTGGGATACCTCTGCGCTTTGGAGTGTGCGCCTGTGTGATCCTGTGTGCGTTAATCCTTATGCTCAGTCGCACTGTAATGGAAGCAGAATCATCGAGAGTGTCGGTGGGGGGGGGCTAATCCGTCTGTTCCACTCGTTCCAAACTCGCTCCGACCGTTCCACTCCGTCCACTCGCTCCACTCGCCTTGTACGTTACCTCCTCCACTCATCCCTTTCGTCTACAGCGCGAGTGGCGAGTGGCACGAGTGGCGTGGACGACTTCAATTCCTCGCCCCCCTCCCTTGCGCGGTCGCACAGTTCTGGGGGCACCAATGAATCAATGTTCCAATCGTTCCACTCGCCCCGTGCCTTACCTGTTCCAGTGGCTCGGGCGACTTTAATTTCCCCGTTGCGCGGTCGCAGTGGAATCATCAGAGTAGGCCTCAGGCCGAGTCGATCTTCCACATACAAATCGAAAGGCCGCGAGGCTTCGAATGGAACCCGAAGAAGAAACAGTCATAAGAACAGCAGAGGTGGGTTCGGAAGAAGAAGACAAAGAGCAACAAGGACAAGAGAAGGGCTTGCATCGTGTACACAACAAAACACGACCGGACATGATGAAATCTTGAAATCCCTCGTGACCCTGATGTAGCCTGGCATCATCCACCAAGATCGTTGCCTCGAGGGCTGTCGCAGACATAAGGGCGATGCCCTTCGAGCGAAGCGAGGCCCAGGACCACGCCTGAAAGATTTCTACTTCGGCTGGGGAGCAAGGTTGCTTGTGCGAAGCGCGATGGCTGCTGTGGTCTCTTTGCTATGAACCTGATGTCTCAAGTCCCAGGCATCTGACTGCAGTGCGATTGCACGCATCATTCATCTACGCGCTTGCATGGAAAAGATGTCGACAGGCCTCGCCAACATATCCAACAGTGAACCAGCCCTTGCCAATCCCAGCATAATTAATCTCTAGGCTCTCGGTGCAGGCAAGGCACCATGTTTGCCAAAGTGGCCTTGCTTACGGCTTACTCTTGGCACAAGGCATCATGCAATTCATGATGCTGTCATCCGTGAAATCCGGGCCTAGCTTCGCTTCCTTTTCACGTGCTCAGTCCCGTTTCTCAGATTCCCGCTATACGGTTTTCGTGTTGATACCGTGCTGCGTCCTAAAGCCTGAAACCTCGCCCACCACCACGACTCCGGTCGCCATGGTCCCGAAAGCGCTTGTGAAGCGCGTGCTTCAAATTACCTGTTCTAGCTGTTCTTTGTCAATGTTGCAATGCACATGTCGTTCGCTCTCGCTCTGTCTCTCTCGTACCGGTAGTAATGCAGCGCAAGCTGCTGCATCAGACTCGGGTGCAGTGAGGAATGCAGCGCAAAGCATCTCCATCAGCGGTCCCTTGGCGAGCTAAGCTTTTCCTGCCGTTCACGCAATGACGGCAGGGTCATGCGCTCTGAGCTCGTTGGCCGCAAGCGAGACCCGTTTGCCAGCCACATCGAAATGCGGCTCATCGAGTTGCAGCAACTTGGCTCACGCCCACACTGTAGTGGCCAGATCTTTCGGTTCAAATTCATAGACAAACCGGTCGGCTTCACAGGCAAAAGCGGCAACCAAAGGTTCACCATCACACATCACCCGTGCGAGTGCCCAAGCCGTGCCCGCCAAAACCCTCGGCAGGCCGCCCCCGCGACCCGGATCGCGGTCTTCCCTGATGGCCTACAGAATCTCTGCAACCAGGTGCCCGAAATCACCTGGGATCCCGACCTCTCCGGCAGTCTTTGCTACTTGCCTGGCCACTGTGCCGGCACATCTGACGTCCAACTCATCTTCCAAGAATTGCCACACGGCCATAACCTCGTGCGCTGGTCGGTCTGCTACCGTCTGCGAAAACTGCCGGACCGTCTAACCACGCAGTGTTCGGCCACTGCGGCCGCGCAGGGAGCGTGTGGCCCTTGTGCTGCTTTCCTCCGGTTGTAGGTCAGGTGAGGTCGGCTCATTCCACTCTGGTTGCTGCTGCGAGCCCATGGCCTACAGCACACATCCTCAGATCCTGGGACGCTTCACATGGCTTGAGCAAAGCAGCACTGAAGCACGGGCGTGGGCGACAGACAAGTGCTTGCTTTGAAAAGCGAACAAATGTTAAACCCTGCTACTGGGTGGTCGCCCTAAGTCGCGGCAGGCCATCGAAAGTCGTTGCAATGCTGCTTTTCCGCATGGGGACGCTCGAACCGGCGAAAGTCACAGCACATGCCCAAAAGTCACCGCACAAGTAGCCAATCCCCATGTAGACTCTT